TGTTGTACAGACTAACAGGCAGATACAAGAGAGAGAACACAAAGCTTTTGTGACTGATCAACGAAATTCTAAAAGTTTGTGCATCTTATGTTTGTAACATGAAAAAAGTAAAATATGAAAAATGAGTACATTTGTTGTCTCTGCGTCTTATTACACCGAAGATTTGTGCAGTTTTCGAATGACGGTTTTGATGGATCACTCACCACCTCATGTTTTCCATTTTCCAAGTCATGAGATTAGCAGGCAACAATCTCCTTTTCCTCTTTCGAGATGGCGACAGAGATTTTTTTGTTGGTGGTATTGTAAGCGATTCTTATGCAGAAGCAACGTCCGAATTCTGATTTTCGCAGTGATCATTGGAGGATCTAAAATATGATTGAAATGATTTTCCGTGGTTTCTCCGGTTAAGAGCAGGTGAATGCCGGAGAAGTACCCTTACAAACATACCACGAACCGCATACGTTCCGTCTTCTTCCTTTTCTTATTCTCACCCCTTACAAACACACAGTTACACTTACATACACTTCACTACTACACATGTCGAGAGACCAGTTGGAAGCTCAGAGCTTGTCCTGGCTGTTGCGGTGCCCCGTTGGTGGGAAAAACGTCGCTAATGGCGTGTAAGTCGCCACTGGATCTCGCCATTCGGTGGGGGAAGATCAGCACCATTTTCGAAGAAAATATCTGAGGGCGGGATCCGTTTGAGCGCTCGCGGTACGATTTAAAAAAAAATTGATTATTGTTCCTTCGATGTTCCGCAGAAGTGCCATCTACATCACAGTTCAGTATATTTTAGACTTTCCACAATTAAAAGCGCTTATACTACTTTGAGCGCTACTACTACGCTATACTTTTTTCTTCATTTGATTTTAATTCGCTCACACGTTTCTTGAACTTTATATTTAATTATGCAGGGGGGGGGGTCGTAGTAACTAATATTCTGCGGGAGGATAGGTTGATATCACAGATTGAAAGTATGTTGTCAGAAAATGGGAATTTGAGTATGAAATTATTGTTGAACGCCTTTGATAAATATAATGAACAATATTTATTCAAATTGTAAAATACAGTAATATCTAACACGCATTCATTGTGACAAATTGTTTTGTAACTCAATATTATTCAACAATACAACAATACTATTCTAATGTGCATGTAATATGCATTACCTAGACTCCAGGATTCTTGGTCAGGGCATTGCATAAGCTACGAAAGGAGATGAATCATTATTATTTTTTATGCAATGTACGTGACCAAGGGCCCCGAAATTAATTATAAGAAATGGAACAAGTAATATGTGTTAAATAAATTAACTTTAGTTTATTTGTTACTCATCTGTTCCTGAGGAAGTGAGATGGGTAATATTCCTGGATGTTTTTCTGTGACTCAGTTTCCAAGAATCGTTTTCAAGGACTCATTCATAATGAAAGCAAACATTAACGCACTTACAACACGAAGGCTAGTAGCCAGACAACGGAATGAAACTAATAAAATTAACGTGATAAATATGGAAATTCACGTGGGAGTTCCTAAATTTGAACAATAATGTTCATGTAAACTCTATTTGAAGAAATTCATGTCATGTAAACGTAAAAAATGTTTGCATTGTAGAGAATTTTTGAAACAATAATATAAGCATCAATTATATTTGTTATTAACATGAACTGTGCGTTACGTTTTTGTTAGTCATATGTTTAGCTTTCATCAGTGTTAATATTTTCATCTTGAATGAGACATAATAAATTAAAATGATGAATATGTGTGCATAATAAAACATGCATGAAATAATAGATTAAATAGAGGCGAAATGTGTTTGAATTTCTGAGTTAATAACTTATTCCTTCTTTGAGGATTTAAAGAATATTGGTATCTTACTTGCAGCAGAAGATAATTTCTCAAATATTAGTGTCATTTGACATAAGTCTTTTTTAAATTCTAACTCCAATCCTTCCTTTGAAAAAAGATGTGCCTTAACATTCCATGTCCATCCAGACGGATAGAAAGGGAATACAGAGAAAATGCTGCACTCTTTAGTAAGATTTATGAGAGAACGTAAGAATGGGCAATAAGAAGCTATTTTTTGCGTAGTAACAATTTTTTTGCTCACTTACTCATAAAGCAATCACATCTGTACTTTGAATCGTCTGTAAACTTGTCGTTTCTCAGACTAGGCTGGTAAAAACATTTTATCGGATTAGTTCGGTAAAATTCACAAATGTGAAGCAGAGCACTGTACAATACCCAAAGACTATACTCTATCCCTGGTGCGACAATGAACATGACTGCAATTTTTATGTGAGTAACGACGTTTACATTTCGTATACACTATGAGTTGTATGAATGTTCTCGTTTTATTGTAGTACAGAAATGGCTGCTATAAGAAGTAAGTGTGTACCTTGGACGAAATGTGAATGTTTATGGGCTCTGGCATTTACCTATCTCGTCCAAAAACCTTCACATTTCGGCCTTGGCACATTCACTATTTTTGGAAAGTAATCAGTAGCCGCTGCTGGTTTCTTCCGCCCGAGAGAACGTTTAGCGAGCCGGTGCGCGGGGGAGTTGCCTAGAACTGGTGCGTGATCTGCCGTATCCAGTCCAGGTAGTGCGCCACCTTAACGTAGACGCCCGGGACGCCATACTGCCCGCAGCCAATTCCCCACGACACCACGCCCACCACCTGCCACACGCCGCCGCGCTCACACACCATGGGGCCGCCGCCGTCGCCCTGCAACACACACACGCACACCCACGTGAACATTTGCACCTATGGCAACATTATGGAAAAATATACTGGATGGAAGGAGGAAATAGTCTTAGCAGAAGAGATGAGTTGAATTATTTTCAAGTTATTAGCTGTGAGGATATTTACTTTGATCAAATTTTAAACTACGCGTGCTTTTAAGCGATATGAAAAAAATTGCGAAATCGCTGCGAGAAGAAATATTTAGCAGTTCCTTTTCGCAAGTAGCAAATGCTCCTATGTAAGATCACAATAGAAAACGTTTTTAATGGAGCCCTATGGTTCTAAAGGAAGAGATTTTTCCTTGATATGCCATCTAGACACGCCTTTTTCTACTACGCCAATACGTCACTGGGCGTCACTCTTTGATTACAAACTCTGATCAGAGCCAAGCCGTTGGACCAGACTGGCCTACGGTGTAATCTTCAACTGCAGACTCATGGAAACCCGATGAAGAGGCAAACTCGGATCTACAAGTCTCTCCCTCTCATCTCATCGCATGTCGACGCTCGTCAACTAATTCGCTTTGTCTTCTTTTAAAGTAGCGTGGACAATTGACGTCCTCCCGGGAACACTGACCTTGCAGGCGTCCTTGCCCTCCTCGCCGCCGGCGCACACCATGCCCGGGTGCAGCTTGAAGTCGTAGCCTAGGCGCGTCTGCTGCAGCTGCGCCTGGCACTGGTGATGCGACACCACCGGCACGTCCACCTCCTGCGCACATTGACACAGCGCCTTTACACACAAGGCTCAGGTCGGGCAGCCAGAGGAACTACTTCAATATGAGACCTGTATTGATGATTTCCGTGTAATTCAATAGTACGCTATGGTTTTTGCTATGAAGTTTCAGTTGCTTCAGTTTGAAAGTATCAGTGTTAATGAATGATGGATGTTTGACGGGGAATATATTATCTACAAACTGAAATATTTTAATTAAAACGAATAAATTGAGCGAATTAATGCTCGTCTCAACCCACAAAGAGACGTTATTCGCGATTTATCCAAGTTTATATTTCTCAGTAGTTCAGTTCCAACTACTGAAAAGGAGATGTGAATCAAATGTTTCTCCCTGGTCTGTTTGATATATTATGCAACTTCTTTGCTGAAGGTTTGACTACTGATTTTTTCAATACATTTCATAGTGTAATGTCGCAATTGCTAAAGGTCATCTGTCACCGTACGATCATAGAACCTAGTCGCTAGTGCGCAGATCAATAGAATTCAATGATATATCAATTATCTAGATTAATTCGTCCGAAAAAGTCCACCGAAAATGAACGTAAATGTAAAGCAATATTTTTTCCGTAAGATAATGTAAATCTGAATTATTTGTTGCAAACACCCAAAAATATTTACCAGAATACATTTTATATCGTGAACTAAACATTTTCTCGATTTCTTTGTCGAAAGGCCTTTTTCTCTGGCAATTTTTTCATTCACGTGGTATCTTACTTGACAGTCAACCTTAATAAACAAGGACAAAAATAATGGATTATTACGAAGTATGCTTAGTGCATGTGCAGGGTGATGCTCATTGAACGAGAAAAATTCAGTCCGCGACGCGCTCTTAACGGATGCTTTGTGCTGGCCTTCGATTCCGGGAAACGAGTGGTCGAGTCACACGGCCACGCTGACGAGTAAGGTAACGGACCATTTTCAATTATAAAAAACACAGAAGATGAACGAAAACAAACTTTTGGAAAAAATGTTACTAAAGACGAATCGTTCGAAAACTTTTGCTTACGAAATCCGGGGTTCCGTATAAGATTCGATACACACGCTTCTTGGGATCCAGAAGCCATGCGCGGGTTCGCTAGAATTCCAGAATCGTACCGGATTAGACGGCTGAGGGGCTTAGAGTTTGTCCCGGCAGGGACAGTGCCCTGCGAATGGGAGAAACCTGCCTGGACAAAACTTCAATGGTTTGACGCGTAGGTCGGAGTCAGATCTCACCATCAGCGGAAGATCATAGCCACCTCGCGAAGAAAAAACATGAAATACTCTTACGGGACCAATGGCAGCCGATGACGTGCCCGGAAACGAAATAATCAATCAATCCAGGATCGTTCCTCAAAACGAAGCAAGTAAATCGCGACTGAAGGTATTGCGCCTTTACCTTGAGGATGTTCTGGTATTTGCCGTAGTCCCCGAAGGCGTCCTTGCCCCAGCCCGTGGTCCAGCAGCGGCTGCCCGCGTAGTCGACGTGCGCCTGCGGCAGGCACGCCGGGCTGATGTGCGGGTGCGCCTGCAGGTCGACGGGCGAGCTCAGCCGCAGCACGGCCAGGTCGTTGTAGAGCGTGCCGGCGTAGAACTCGGGGTGCACCACTACGGCCGACACGTCGCGCTCCACGTACGGGTAGAACTCCACGTCGTGGTTCACGTCCCACTCGCCCAGGCGCACGCGCAGGTCGTGGCTGGAGTACCTGCAGCGGAAGACCCTTTCAGCCTCCGGCCACTTCGCGCATCGCGGGCGGATGGGGGCTGGGCCAGAGGGAAGATGATGCGTCAGAGGTGCATTTAGAAAAGAGATGCTTGTGCACAGAGATACGGGAATGGGATACTTGTATGGTAGAATAATATTTGAAGTGAAACTTATCTTCTCGCGTAAGCGTAAGTCGTAAACGTAAGTCGGTACAGAGTCAGAGGAGGTCACTGCAAAGTTTATTTTTTGGAAAAAAATACGTGTCGGAAATAATATTGATTTTTTGCCTTGTTTTATACCATAGTAAAATTAGCAAGTTGATACCCTCAGAAGCCGAAATACGGAGCCTGGGAGAAATTGAATGGAAAACTTTCACTTGCTAGTTCTGGCGGCGGTCGTCAGCACCATTGAGCCGCACTGTATTTTATTTGATCTTGAGTTCTTATTTTCAATTGCCAATCTATTTTCTTAACCGTGATAGTAATTAGTGCCTTGAACGTAATATAGTGGAATATCTTGAATATCGGAACTTGAAGAGTGGAGATGTGAGGATGGTTTCCCATTTCGTTAATTCTGAGAAAGATCGTTGGTTTATCAGACTAAAGATTGTTGTTTTGGTGCAATTTTCCTTATCTCTTCTCTTCTTGTTTTTTCTTACATAGCATACCGTATTTTTTGCTCCATTTTCATAATGACCCCACTAGGAGAGAAAATAAAAATACGATATTCAATGTTAAATTACACCTGTCAGGGTAGCTTTCGGAAATAAATATTCCGATCCGTGTTTGATCAGAAATACATAGTTAAAAATACTAAGTTGTTACTGTAGTAATTGCACGATGAAAATAGGAGATACTAAGGCAATACAATGAGAAGAAACATACATTCTTAGAATAGCCAGCTTCCTTTTAAGAAAGATGTTTTTACCCTAAAAACCTTAGATAAATGAATATCCCAAAAAAATCAAAATATCTTTAATACATGGAAGTACTATTTAGTCAATGACAAAAAGTGACAGCAATCCTGAAGAATTGCCCGACCCAAATTCCTGTATGCTTTTGTTCGCACTTTCTTCAATGTCTCTGAGGTGGAAACAGTGTCTTCACTTGCGGAGAGTCGCCGCGGCCACTCTCAATAATTTGCTTCGTTAATTTACGAGCAATGTCTCGCTGTGTGAGCACGTTTGAAAGTAACTCGGAGAAGCAAGAAACGCGTTGCAGCCAACGCTGGTTTAGAGTAGGGGCTCATGTCACAGGCATCGCGCGGTGAAAGTACTGAAAGGTGATTTTTTAAAAAAATACCTTTTATTACATTTAAAATAGTTGTATTTAAATTTGATACTGAACCAATGTATGATCTTATTGATTTGATGTTATGCTGAAGTCGTAGGCTTCCGCGGCCAGACTCATGTGCGTGATCTGGGCTGTCCGGGTGACGCCGCGTCGCAGGCTGTGTCGCCGACGTTTCGACCATCCTGTCGTGGTCTTCCTCAGGGCTGGGATGCGACGCGGCGTCACCCGGACAGCCCAGACCACGTTGGTGATATGATCTGCGGCGTTCTTACAAAGTTGTCTACAACTGGAAGGATCTGCTTTCGGACTTGAATTTGGGTACTTTCTTCGTACGAATGAATATACGACGGTGGCAGCACGTCAAGACACGAAAGGGCAAAGGGTGGCTTTTGAAATGGGGTGCAATTAAATATTAAATTGTGTGTCGTAAATCAGTTGTTCAAGAAGTGTTGCAGATTGATTAACTATTTAAAACGTGATTAATTAACGTGTAACTCTCTTCTTGAAAATCCTGATGGTTTTGGCTTTACCTTTAAATGTGCTTTTTCGGGAGAAACTATTTTCCTTCATGGGGTCCGACGATGTCAGTACGTATGCATTTGTGACGGTGTTTCTGGGATCAACTCCAATTGCAAGAGGGCCTCAAATTTATGAACGCTGCGATTGCTGGGGTGTTGAACCGTTTGAGAATTTTGATTGGATGCTCATTTAGACTTGAGGTTTCGCTATTTATTAGTGCTGGTGGAGTGGAAGAGTGGTGGGTGTAAGTGTGTACTCACGTCTTGACGCAGTGCGCTGCTGTGATGATGTGCTGTGCGTCGATGAGTGTGCCTCCGCACACGTACACGCTCTCGTGCGTGTCCTTCTTCAAGATGGCGGCCTGCCACGGGTACTCGCCTGAAACGCGCACGCACTTGTCAGCTTCTAAGTCACAAGGTGTCGTTTTCCAATACAGGAGATTCGCTAATTTAGATATATTGCCACGGTTTAAGAATATTTCCATCAAATATTCAGACACTGACGTCATGCATCAACTGAATTACCACACTGATGCGTAGTCAATGGGTGAAAATTTTGGATTCTACGAATGAGTTGTAGCAGGATGGGAATTATGATAACAGTATACAAATTGCCCTGATGAAATCTCAATACAGGCCAAAATGTTGGTAACTGAAATAATTCTATGTATTTCATGTAAATTGAAGAAAAATCCTAAGAAATTAATAAACAAAGTGAAGATGAATGGCTGCTGACGAGCTACTCACCGAACTCGCTGTCACCGTCGACGTAGACGGGCGTCTTGATGCGGCCGTTGACGCCTTGCGCGTTGCGCCGGCCGCACTGGCCGTAGAGAGGGCGTTGAGGCGCTTGTGGGCGTCCGGGGCGGCGGCAACACACGTAGCGCGGCCCGCAGCGGTTCACGTGGTTGCCGAAGGGCGCCTGACGCTGCGGGCAGACCACACGCCTCAAACATCAACGCCCCCTCAAGGCGCTAATGAAAGACATATCGAAAAAAGCGGTGTCCCTCAAGGTTTTCGAAATCGAAATTTGGAAACAAAATAATAATGCGTTTTCATTTAAACTCTTATTTGTGAAATTTAATCGTCAATCAGACGATGGACGGACTGATGAAGACTCAAAAAACTTGTAATTATTTTCTGCAATAATCAAGGTTTAATTGTGAAATTCCGATTTAAATGGAGATTATTGAATAGTACGTTTAATTTCTTTTGAATATTAATTTCACACAGCGTTGAAAGTGTTCTCTTGTTCATTCAGTGTTCATTTCTTTGGTCTGAGGAGAAACGTGGCATATGAGAATTTTAGCATATGACAATAAAAGAAGTTTAATTTATTTTGGAATATTTTGGCGTTTTGATATTACATCTCAAAATAAATGATGTAAATACTTTAGCTGGTTACCTTACAATAATTTTCAAGAAAGTTGTGATGTTTTTTTCTGATAGAAAAATGTGTGTTGATCAAACCGTGAAGAAGTTCCAAATATTTTCAAGCTTGGAGAATATATTCATGTCAATTTCCACTCACAAAAGCTAAAAAGGACATTTTCTAGTCAGAAAATATTTTAAGAGAATTAGATGCTATGCTAAAGACTTTAAATAATGCCAGAATTGAAGCAGAATAAAGAAATAGCCGAAGGATTCGAAAAGGATAAAGATACACGTGTTAATTAAAAGATGGAAAGAGGGAAGAGATTCATGTGTTATTAAACATCGTATTTTTTTATAGAGAAGTAGAAGTCAAGTAGATGAAGTCTAAAGCAGTAGAAGTCAGAGGTTTGTGACAGTATGGTCACAGTAAGAGTTACTGTTGCATCAGAGAGTTGTCTACGTCACTGTTGTAATGACGTATGTCCTCAGCTTAATCGTCGCATCCAAGTTGTCAGGGTTGTGTTTCTGCTGGTCATTTGCTGAAACTCCAATGTACAGTACATGAATAAATCTAAGGTTTACTATTAAGGCTCAATACTTTATGAATTATGTAAATCCATCTCAAGTTATTTTTGTCATGAAAAAGGAATTTGAGTTCAGTTAATATTAATGTTTTCTTTCTGTTGATAAAATGCAAAAATTGCAAACTGCTGAGCAGGTGGGGTCTAGAGCAAGGCGTCGTGTGGGAGGGGCACCTGATTGAGAAGGCCTTACCTCATGGGTGGAAACCACCTCATTGGCTGCTGCGTAGAGTCGGGCGTCATCGTCCGAGAGCTGTCGTTTGTCTCTGGAGAAGCTGCGTCGGTTACTCGGGAACTGAACCCTGGACCCTCCAGAGGCGGGACCGGAGCCGGGGGCGGGGGCGAAGGGCGGGGCGCCGGG